CAATTTTTGTTTGTTAAAACTGTGTGTTGCCTGCTTGAGGTCTGATGAGGATGGATCTTTCATGCTRTGACCTGGCCCCTCCTAGACAGGTCGTAACACAGAATTAAAATAAAACAAAATGAAATGAAACAATAAATAAAAAGGTGAAAAATTTGGGAATAGTTTTAGAGTCAAGTAGATATTCAGAATATACTGAAACGGATTTAAACAGTTATATTTACTTAACAAAAAGAACACTCAGAAGCAAGAAATAAACCTTTATGATCTAAAGAAAAACTAATTTGATTATAAGTTCATCTAAAGCACAAGGATCTTTAGAACAGGAGGTTTTGATTAGGATCTGTGTTCAGGTTTCYACATGTAAGAATTCAGACAAGTTAGACTATAAATATTTCCCTTTGAATAGGAATTTGGGTCATTAGTGTGTTTATAATTCTGCCAGCTTGACAGATTTATCAGGAAGTCCAGTTCAAAATGGCCAACGCAGATGTGCAACCCCGAGCAAACACAAAAGGCTATAACTCAGTTCATTTTACAGTTATTGAGACAAAATTTGGTGTGGATGTAGTTGAGCGTTATTCTTAACAAATACTCTGAATGCAAAGATAACATATCTCAAAGGATACTGTGTGAGGTTCCACAGTACATCATTACCAGGTTTAATATAGAACAGTTTCAACTTTGTTCCTTCCTAAAATAATCTTAATTCAAAATTAGTAAAACTAGTATCGAAATAATGGTGAACAATTTCTTAATAATGTTCTTTAATGGAAAATAAGGAAGATTTRTAATGTTCTATCACCTACTGATACTAATAACAAAGAACTGACAAAAATCGGAAAAAGCTGAAAGGATGAAGCTAAACATCAGTACTGGTCACCTTTGTTCTCCTGGCCCCTCAAGGTGACACTGCAGTAAAAACAAGTCTATGAGCTCAGGAACACATCCACAAATTATCTGTAAACAGTTTGATGTGCCACAAATGCTGGTTAAAGCTCTATCATGCACAAAAAAAGCCATATGAGAACACCATTCAGAAATTCTGCCATCTTCTATGGGCCAAACCTCACTCACCACAAATATTTAACCTCATACTGAATCCATTACAGCAGTGTTCAAAATGGTGGTGGTGGTGGT